GTTTCAACTTGTAGCTATCACAATCTGTGTGAACCAGCAGTGTGATCTGGGTGCAGAGCAACAACAACAAAAGGCGATGAGTGACACAGTATCTAAATCATGGGAAGGAAGACCTCCACAAAGTTCTGTGGGGCTCCTAGTCCACTTTGAGACCTGTGTCTAGTTCTCAGCAGCACACTTTAAGAAGAATTAAAATGGATGCAAAGAGGAGCAACAGGGTAGACAGGGGACCTGGAATAAAGTCCTAAGAGAAGAGATGGAGAAAACTGGATATACCAACCCATCAGAAGAGAAGCCGAGGAGAAGGGAATTAGGAGAATGTTATTCAATCACTTGAAGTGATTTCACACAGAAGGCAGCCATTTTGTGGTTGCAAGTAGAAACAGACTTACTGCATGTAAAGGTGAATGGACCATACATCTAATGGAGGTTGCTGGTGGCATGCTTCATATATAAGTACGATTTCAAAGTTCTTCAAACATACAGGCTACCCGAGTATTTAGTATTTTAAGCAGTTTCTAGTTGGTCAGCATAATTCCCCCAGGCATCCTAGTTTTGTGGGGATCTAAAGAAGTATTTCCTATGATGGATCCCACAAGTTTTCACAGAGTTGCTGTACCCAGTAGTAAAGGGCATGACATTTAAATAGCTTGACACTCTCTTATTTATGAAGTCGTCTGCAGATTTTGGTGAGCTCTTATCAAAAACAAACCAGGTTCACTCACACATTCATGCATTGAATGCAAGTGATAGACCAGAAACTCAGCGGTCACAATTACAAAGCAATTGAATGTGATAGGAAATAGCATACATAGCAAACGGTGAAATGGATTGAGGCAGAACTCCAAAGAGTACTGTATTCAGAGAATGTCAAAATGTTACCACTTCTTCCTTCCCACTGCCTTTGAATTAAAAAAAAAAAATATGGCCATTTCTAATGTGGAGTTTTAGCTAACATGCAACACAAATAGAGCCAACCTTCTGGGTAATGTGACTGGTAGCAGGACAAACATTTGCTGCAGTCTAAAAATTGGGGAACAGATAAAACACAGTCAATGAACCTGCTCCCTGGGTGCATGATGCAGTTAAACACCAACATATCTTCTCAAACACTTTAGGAAAGAACAGTAAATCAGCAAACAAGATTTAATATCAATGGATCCACAGAAACCAGATCTAAGAATGGCTACTTTCTTCCCAAATAACGATGAGCTTGCTTCCAAGGTATCAATCTGGCCCCTTGGTTTTCAAGACATGGTAGAATCCACAAGGATTCAAATTAAGATTTTGAGGGGCTAAACATTCTATGTTCTGATCATAGCAGACAAATTGAATGCATCTGAGGGCCCAACCTGGGCTTCTAAGTGATGGAATAACATCACTGGCACAAGTGGGACTGATATTTCAATGTGATTTTTAAATGAATTATCTTATTATGTGGGAAGTGGAACTGGGTATCAGGAAAAATGTCAGAGCAAGTGGCAAATACCTTATCAACCTTGGAGTACTTCTGTGAGAGGCCATCAGAAAATACGAGGATTGAAGGTGAAACCATGAAGTCAAAATCGTCTCAGGAAAAGGCCATGCCAAACTGCTTTCATATCACGCTGAGGTTCATTCAAGAGAAATAGGTTTCTCTGTCAGTCCCCTATGAGTCAAATACTGTGGCTGCACCTGATCCAGGAGTGCCCTGGGGATTTCCGAATGGCTGCTGGCGGGCCGTTCACCCCAGGTTTAAATGGATGGATGAATTTAAGAGAAGGATTTGGAGGAGAATGGGACTGGAACTCCTGGAGGCCCATAGAGATCACTCAGTGGGATGATGACTCACTCAAAATGATGAGGTAAATGATTTGTGGCCCCTTTTTGGTTATTGGGGAATTAAGGATGTAAATAAAAGGAGGACACTTCTGAGAAACAAATTGCATGTCTTCCCACCCTTAAAGCTACTCTGCCCCTCCAGATCCACAGAATGTGCCACGGTAGCTGAAGTTCAGCTGTGTAATTTGGGTTGGGGGAATTTCAAGAGGTTTTAGGGTGGGAGTGGATATGAGAATGGAGCTGTTGCTTCTACTCCCACTCTTGCTTTGGGGAAGATCTCTCAGGAAGCCAATCAGATGCATATAGGGTGCTGGGAGATGCAGGTTGCTAATTCCTTGTCTAAGAAGAAGCTAGAACCCTAACATGTACAGAGTACATTGCTGTTGTCCCCGTTGCATTTTGTTATCAAGAATAGCATGACGTGAACCCTGAAGAAAGGAGGAAAACATATGATATTAGCCAGATAGACCTGCTCCTGTAAGCTTCCTTCCTTCAGGGTTATGCAACTCTTGTCCCACTGAGCAGCAGACTCCACTTATCGCATACTTAAGTTACCATACCCTTAAGAAGACTGTGGCTTAAGCAATAAGCCTTTGGGGAAGGTGATTCAGGCTGTAGTCCTCTGGCTCAGCTGTAGACCAACCCCTAAAGTTCACAATGTATTTTTTACATTAGGGTTCAACTGTTTTGCTACATGTTTGAAAAATGTTCTCTGATATGGTGACAGAATGATGTGCATTGCAACGGAAGCATTTCCAATTGGGACTGATGAATGCTTTCCAGTTGATGAAAGGCCAGACTCAGTGCAGTGTTAATGGCATGAGTACTTGCTTAGTTTATAGTTGCACTTTTCAAAACTAATTTTGCTTTCCAAAGAAGCTTACCCCAAGATCAGATTTACAATCTCATATGACAGGAAAAGTGGCGAGTTGTAAGCTGTAAATATTGTACTGAATTTGACCCTCCAACTGCCCCCAGCTTTTCTTTCCCTGTGAAAGAAGCTTTCATTCTACCTGCTTCTTGAGATGCTTTAGAAATTATTTTACTGTCATCTGAGTTTAATTTATAGTTGCAAGATGGCAAAGGGTTCCTCTGTTTTTTATTTACATGTTTCTCCATTCCTCTGCAGCGACCCATATTTCCCTCATTCTTCCTGATCTGAAAAACTCTCTGGGCTTTTAATTGAAGCAGAAAAAAAACAAGGAAACTACAGTCCACTGGAAAAAAAAGATTGCACAGTGAAAGATAGGACACCCATTGACTATACTGACTATATCATAACTAAGTGTAGGATTCCCCATTTCTTCCATACATTTTACTGAACTTTTCTTCCCCTTTGGGATAAAAAGCAAGATAATTCCTTTGCCATCAGAAATTTGGCACAGCACTAAGTTTTAGTCTTTTTGGGTTTATTCTACATTTAAAAAGACATGGGTGGTTTTTACTTGGGCAATGGAGGGTCTTCTTTTTCATGTATTTGCAGTCTCAAAGCAACAGACAGTGAGAGGAGGTGGGTGTTCCTTCTGGTTAGGGCTGAAGAAGGAGATTTCCTTCACTTGCTCCTGTTCTGACTAAAGAATGAGATCGAGGTTGGTTAGTCCTGCATGATTATTTCTGCAAGGTGGACAACACCATCTCCTTGTGACCTTCAGTCCATAAATGAGGCAGAAGACCAAAAAAAAAAAAAAGTCCTCTCCTTTCTGCAATGAATATGTCCAGATTGTTTTTACATTTTAAAGATCATATGGGGAAGGGAGACACATAGGAAGGAGATGATCCTATGAAAGACTTCCTGCTTAGATGTACTTCTGACAGGACCAGCAATAGCACCATTCAAGGTGGAATGAATTCAGCTTACGCTCAATTCTTTTGAGTTCTAGTTTATGGTTTTATATCTGGTGAGGGTCAGTATCCATTTCTGTTGCAGGTAAGAGGCTGAAAAATAAGAGCTATCCTGTTATAAATTACCTGGTGTGACAACACCCATTTTCAGAGATATATCTCTCTAACTCTACTTTCCAGATACCAAAGATTTCATAAGTACCATTTAGAGGTTTTGTCAGGTACCAAGAATATAGCACAACTGTGTCACCTGAACAACTGGATCATAAAAGAGCAGGTTCACTTCTACCAACATTTTTGAAAAACCATGTGCTTATGAGAAGATAATATGGGAAACATGAGATATTTATTGGCAGATAGCTTTCCTGCCCCAAGACTTTTGTAGTTTATGGTACATTATGCCTTCTAATAGAATATGCTATGGATTTAAAAGCAGATGTAGCTAGAGTCCAATTCCCAACAGCCTCAGTCAACATGGCCAATCATAAAGGATAGTAGGGAGTGTAGTTCAACCACATATCAAGGGCCATAATTCCTTTACCCTATATTGTGTGTTTCCCCAGTTCTGATCAACATTAGTCAACAAATGTAGGAAACATCTCCGTAGAATGTTATCATGACACAGTGTTCTTCTACATGAGGCTTATTATATAGTTTTCTCATTTTATGTGATTCTATGAACGGTGACTCTGCTGTATTACTTTCTTTTCAAGGATCACTCTTAGACCTTCTCAGTGCCATATAGCTGGACGCTTCAAAGGTCCACCTGTCCATTTGCTTCCCACTCTGGAGCACCCTTCTATCCACCCAGTTGTACACCTTCTATCCACCCGTTCCATTTTGGGACATTGCCAGGGCAACTACTTGAGTTCAGATTCAGTTTCATAAACTGCTCAACTCCTGAGCCCATTTTGCAAAAGAGTTGTAGAAAGCCCCGCATCCGTTGCCATTCCCATCCCCTGTTTCCAACAGGCAAGTGCCCTGGGAAGGGCCTGGGCTAGTCCTCCTGCCCTGAAGGAAGAGCGAACAGGAAACGTTGGACTCCTTTGTTCTGCAGCCCTGCATGTTGGCTGCTTAGTGTTAATCTCCCAAAGCTAATCATACATTTGCAATCTGCCCTCATTACGTTCCTTTGTAGCCCAATCTCCAGAGAAGATTGCTTCCATAAAGTGCTGAGTCAGTTCATTTCCAATGTAATTGGATAGAATGGGATGTTTGATTGCGTTCATTTTGTAATTCTTTTCTGGCTTTAACCTCTGGGATTGATGCTGTTTCTTTTTCCTTGGCTCTTTGTACTTTAAAAAAAAAATTAATTCTGAGCTCTGCTTCCTTTTTAGTTACGGACGACTTTATGCTGCAGACCCCTACCACCACACACTTGCTCCAGCAGCCACCTACGGCGTTGGTACCATGGTGAGTGTTTTTCTCCTCCTCCCCCACCTCCTTTTCCAGCTTAAAGTGCATTCCTCCCTTCCTCTCCTCGGTTCTTAACATGGTTGACATCTCCTCACTTTTCCTTAATTGAATTTGTCTCTTCTGCTAACGGCAGCTAAAATGCCACATTAATCCTTCCCAGTAAACTTGATAAATGTCTTAATTTCTTGGCAATGTAGTGCATGTAAGTTATTATATTTTTAATTTTGCAAGTATCACCTAGCTGAGCACTTACCTTAATGGAATAATTAGTCATTTTGATAATTAAATCCATCACAAGTAGAATGCATTCACAGAGATGTCCATTCGTGTGGGGTTTTTTTCCCCCATGAATTTACATAGCCCCAAGGTCCAAGTCACACCAGTGCGTCTTACAAAGAGCTGAAACAAAATTTCCATGCTGGTGCAGGCAGTTAGCTCACATCTTTGCTATTTCCTCTCTATTATAGTTAATAGTCCAAACGGAATCATATGGCAAGAGAGGAAAATTATGTTTAGCCAATGCTTGACTTTCAGGGAAACAAAATATCCTGGTCCAAAGGAATCTTTAGTTATATGAAACTAAAATGTGCCCATCAAAAACCCACAGGGAAATTGCATTGGACACTGTTGACCTTTTACATTCTGAGCAAACATCTCTCCAGGAGTCAAAAGTGGAACCACATTTTACCTTGAAATTAAAATAATGCGTAAAAACAAGCAAATATTAGTAACAGCGATGGACAGAAATGGAGACAAATTTACCTGACATTAACTGAATCCCTCTGACTCAAAAAGACTCAAGCCATAATCATATTTGTTCAACCGGAGCCCACCTTTATAGTGTGTGTGTGTGTGTGTATCTGTGTGTGTGTTCAAACTCAAAAATATATATTATATAATTTTCTAGGACCTTATACAGAAGTGTTATACCACAAGTATTACATTCCTGTCTTGAAATATATTTCTATTTAAATAGCAGTAGTAGCAGCAGCAGCAGCACTTTATTGATTAGCCATAAGACCATATCAAAGTACAAAAAAATTAAATAAAATCATCCCTAACAGTATAAAAACAAAATCTCGGCCCATATATCCATATCCCCCTTACAATTTACCCCAATCAGATCTACATGTATGGCTCAAAACTGCACTGTTTTATCCAGAAAGGAGGCCATTTTATATGTGATATTTAAGTTCTGACCACACATAAAATACATTCTTCTGAGACATGGGTCCCACTGAACTGTTCATCTTACGTATGGTTCAAAGAATTTGATTAAACCTCCCATGTTTTATCATTGTGCCTATCGGTTCAAATCTCACACGGGTAAACCCCCTCCTAAGATACTCGGGCATTTGAATAAGGAAATATTTTTCAATTTGAAAATTACATTTATAGCGACTCATCCATTTCAGCTTGCCAGCATTACTGAGACGAGCTATATCTTGTTGACTTTCAAAACCAAGGATTCCTTGCACAACAATTTTCTTCACCTTTTGTCCAGGTGCTGCTTAACAAGCCCACAATGCCTGATGTAATTTGTAAGTTGTCAGAAGAGTCTAACTGAAGCTTAGTCTGTTCTATCGAGCACAATTTTGAGAGTCTATCAGTCTATTAAATAGTCTATTTAAATAGAAGAAGCTACAATCATAGGTATCTTCTTGGGAGCACATGGCATAATATGGATTGCGATGTCCTCATGCAAGTGACATCATCATAGCTTGTAATGGACATCTCGTCCACGCTTTTTCCTTCCTAGCGTTTTTTCTTCATCCACATGGGTGTGCTTGATTTATTATTTATTAGACATAGGTATATCATGATTTATTAGAAATAGGTATATCATTAATGGCATTTATTTTTAATCTCTTCTGATCCAAACTGAAAATAGCATGTTCACTCTTGCAAATAAGTAGCTGTAACAAGAAACAGATCTGGGGAAATTACTGTTTGGCCAGTAATCTGCTATTTATCAATCTCTTGCCTGTTCAATCAATGATGTAATCATTTTTATATTGTTTGAAATTATGAAGTCTGTAGAATCCTACAGATCCCTCCCACACCCCTAACTATTTTTCCCTAAGATCTGTTGTTTAAGTAGGTGATGCTGGTTAGCTTCACGGCAACGCTCCAGTAGCATCTTTACTTCCAAGAATGCCTCTGGTTTCTGTCCCACAGACATTCCAGGAAAATCAAGATGGTAGGTGATTGCAGCCCAATTTGGAAGTGTGACACCTACCCAGATAAAAGGTAACAATCAACTGAAATGGTAGCGAGCGTTTTGCAGGGGTAGGAGATGAGGGAGGGTGGGGAACAGAGAACTATATGCAATTTCCTTTGCTAAGTTGGTGTTTTGTGTCATGACACCATGGAAGCCATTTTACACAAGCACTCCAAATTCCCAGGGCGCCCACTGGCCTAAAAAAACATATCCTATCTTCATTGTAAAGATTCTCAAATAGCCTTGAAATCTAAACCTTCTCCAAGGTTCTGATGCACAAGAATCTGACCCACATTGCTGAGCTAGGAATCCATTGTTGCGGGTGTTCTAAAAATGTGGTGTTGATGTATGGATGGTGTGGGGAAAAAGATACACTTGCAAAATAAAAGGAACAGGTTTGGGCCAGCCTTAAATAATTAGCAAACATCCCAAAACATCTTTGTTGCAGCCACTGAACAAGAACCCATTTATATCTGAATACTCACTGGTCCTTGGTCTTTGATGAAACTATCACCAAATGACTTTTCATTTTAATATGTGCTTATGTGGTCAGGATTAATTGTGTTTACTGTACAATAGAGATCCCTGTATCCCAGAAATTAAAACTGTCCCTGTAATTAATAATCAGAGCTCCATTTATGATTGTTCTATGATTGATTGCATGTGAAAAGCAAAAATCCAAGTTGGGGGAAATAACCCACATAGGACCCATACTTTCATATAAATAAATAGCCTAGGCTGGGAAAAGCCTTAATTTATTGCCCTGTTTCAATCACTGGGTACCCAAAATTGCAAATGGCAATCCCAGTTTAGCGTGGTTTAGGAACACACCAATTATTCTACCAAGTCAGGTCATACCTTTCAATCACCCTTGGCTGCTTCATTCCAAAGAAGCTGTTGTACAAATGTCAGATTTTTTGCCTTTACTGCATCTAAACTCCGAGGCTCAGTGATCTCACCTCCAGCTGGATTAACAACACTGGAGGATTGACACGACAGCCTTAAAACTAAGGAGAATTGCTATCAATCGAAGGCTGTGCTGATGCAGTTCTCCAAAACGTTGCTTCTTTAAACCCTTCAACTGGCTAGATCCACCCTTACAAATCCACACAGCTTAAGATCTTGGCTAAGTATCATGGTGCCGTTGTGGGGAGATGGGCGGGGACAAGTCTAATAAATGAATGAATGAATGAATGAATGAATGAATGAATGAATGAATAAATAAAGGTGCCATTTGGATCATTCCTGCTTTGTTCTCTACCCTTGCACCTCTGAAGAAGGTTTAGAACTAGAGCAGGGCATCAGAACAAACCAAGCCTAAGTCAGAAAGCCACAAACAAGCCATGGATCCTAATATGCATGTCACATTAAGCCTGAGCAGCCAGCCGTTATGCCAGTAAAGGGATCCATGGGGGGAAGGGGCTGAAAAACTCAAAGGATGGCCATGTCTACATGAGGATGATCATGGTTTATGATCACATGATTGTGGCTGCCATCCTGACTTTCTGAATCGAGTTGTAGCACCAATAATTAGAACGAAAGAGGATGAACTTCAGCCACTACTAGAAAGAAGGCCAATGCTTAAGAGATATTTGCAAATTCTGGTATAAATTAACCTGATCCTCATTACTTAGCTCAGTGTTTCTCAAGCTTGGCAAGTTTAAGATGTGTGGACTTCAACTCCCAGAATTCCCCAGCCAGCCATGCTGGCTGGGGAATTCTGGGAGTTGAAGTCCACACATCTTAAACTTGCCAAGCTTGAGAAACACTGACTTAGATGAATATGTGGATTGAATATAGTTATTCATTGGATCTTGCACTTTCCTGAATTTAATTATTCAACTCTTGGATGCAGTATTACAGGCAATTCTTGTTATTCTGTGAAAATGCCGCAAATACTGAATTAGTGAATGCTAAAAGCTCAGCTGGGAATGTGCACATCCGGTGATTCCAATTCTGCATATCCATGAATTCTGTAAGCTCAACAGCGCCACGAGTGCTGATTTTGGGGTGGCAAAACATTTTTGTGAATTTGCAAATATGGAACCCGCAAATAACAAGGATTGCCTGTACCTCCTGATAAAGTGTAACCATACACATGCCATATTTGAGAGAAAGTTCAATAGAAAATACCTTTTTAAAGATTACTATTTAAGCACAGTTTTTATGCTAGTTTTTTAGAAAGTAAATATACAGATTAATAAAGAATCAGGAGCAAGCGGAACTATGAATAAACAAGTGACAGGGGCTAGAAATGTGGAAATCAGTTCCTCTACACCAAACTCTCTGTATAGTACTTTTATCTTTCTGTAGTAGTTGAGAAATTTCTTTATCTCAGAATCTGACTATCCTGAGTCAGGCTCTTAATGGTTTATTTGGGTACACAGTGAACAGATTGCAACTGAGTTGAGTCTCGATTATTTTAAAATGGATTCTCCTTCTTTTATTTTTTTTTCTCTTTTCATTTTGAGTATACCTTTGGGCAAAACTGTGCATCAGACCTATCCTACTAGTAGTCATGCTTCAGTGTTATAAATATTGATGGATTAGAAGCTAGCAAAAGGTTGCCCTGGGTTATAACCTTTGCAGTTAAAAAATATACAAATCATGCTCTGTGTCATTAGCAAGCATGCTGGAAAACATGGAGCACTTCCTTGATGAATATCTATGAAACCATCCTGAAACCGAGCACCAGTCTAAGGCAGTGATTCTCAACCTTAGCAACTTTAAGAAGTGTGGACTTCAACTCCCAGAATTTCCCAGCCAGCCATCTTAA